TCCTGGTCTATGTACAGGTTCTTCATGAGCACAATCAAATGTTCTGGAAGTCCCATTCTTCTCAGTGTTATCCATAATGTGTTATGATCCACACACTCAACTGCCTTTGCATAGTTAATAAGACACAAGTAAACATCTTTCTGGAATTCTCTGCTTTTAGCCAAGATCCATCTGACATCAGCAATGCTATCCCTCATTCCACGTCCTCTTCTGAATCCAGCTTGCATTTCTGGAAGTTCCCTGTCAATGTACTGCTGCAACCGTTTTTGAATTATTTTCAGCACAATTTTACTTGCATGTGACATTAATGACCAAAACCCAAACCAAACTCATTACTGTTGAGTCGGATCAGACACATAGTGACCCCTCCTTGGGTTTCCGAGGCAGTATCACTATGGAAGTAGATTGCCCAATCTGCCTTCCAAGGAGTGGCTGGTGGGTTTGAACCACCAGCCTTCTGGTAGCAGTCAAGTGCCTTAGGCAATATGCCACCAGAGCTCCTGATATTAATGACATTGTTTAATAATTTCCACATTCTGTGGGATCCCCTTTCTTTGGAATGGGTACAAACACTGATCTCTTCCAGTCAGTTGGCCAGGTAGCCATCTTACAAATTTCTTGGCAAAGACAAGTAAGTGCCTCCAGGGGGGCATCTGTTTGTTGAAATATCTCAACGAGTGTTCTGTCAATTCTTCAAGCCTTGTTTTTTGTCAATTCCTTCAGTACAGCTTCGACTTACTCCTTCAGTACCATTGGTTCTTGATCATATGCCAGCTCCTGAAATGGATGAAGATCGGCCAGTTCCTTTTGGTGCAGTGACTCTGTGTGTTCCTGCCATCTGCCTTTGATGCTTCCTGCATCAGTCGATATTTTACCCATAGAATCTTTCAATATTGCAGCTTGAGGCTTGAGTTTTTTCTTCAGTTCTTTTAGTTCTTCTTGAGAAATGCTGAGTGTGTTCTTCATTTTTGGTTTTCTAATTCCAGGTCTTTGCACATTTCATTATAATAATTGACTCTGTCTTCTTGAGCTGCTCTTTGAAGTCTTTCATTCAGCTCTTTTATCTTGTTATTTCTTCCATTTGCTTTAGCTAGTCTCCATTGAAGAGCAAGTTTCAGAGTCTCTTCTGACATTCATTTTGGTCATTTCTTTCTCATATTTTTAATGACTTCTTGCTTCCCTCATGGAT